CTTTTTTGTGTGGCTCTATACATTCTTGTTTTGGTATCCCCAACCTCGTTGTGTACCTTTTACATTGCTTTTATAAAAGCGATTGTTTTTCTCCATAAAAAATGTACAAATACTAATACTACTATTTTCTATAGACATAATCAAATTTAGAATTGTCAAACTAATTGAGGAGCTTGATTTATATTTTTTTTGGGCAATGCGGGGAGCATCATTTGACTAGATTCCTAGAAGCTAAGCTTGTCCAAAATCTCCAATAGAACCGAGGCAGCTCTCGAGCGAGATGGCAGAAACCCACTCTGATGCAGCGCAGCACCAAGCATGCCCAGAGAAGCTATGAATCCAAGACAAGCATTCTTGAGCTGCATGCGGTGGTAGTCTTTGCTCGGCTAAAAGCTAGAGTAATCGCCACCGTGTCCGCGTCGATGCTATGGCACATCCCACCTAGCACATGAGCCTCGGCCTGTCAAACCCTCTACCGATCCATGACCACTAGCGGGTCTTGCATGGGCACATTCCACGTCCTTGTAAGTCGTCGTCCGGCAGCATCACCGTCACTTTTAAATCCGTGAGTGTCGTGTACCTGAAACAAAGCGGCGCCTCTCGAAGATGGAAGGCTCCATGTTGTTGACCTTGATGCGGCGTTGCGGCCTTCTCCCTTCATGGGGCGAAGAGCTCCGCCACGAACACCGCGGACCTCGCGGCGAAACGCATGCAATGTAATGTGAGGGAGCGACCGCCCACCTCACGACAAGCGTCACGTCTGCGCCGTCCGACCACAGAGCATGCTCGCTAGGTCACCTTAATACCGCAATGGGCTCACGAGGCGGCGATGGCGCTCACGTCCTCGACATGGGGTCTTGGATGGCCAGTCGAGGATGCACTGGCCGTGAAGCGGTCGTTGTTGTTGCGCACCATCCTTGGAAGGCGGGATTTATATATGAATGTGGGCGACCCACGCCTCCTAATGCAAAAGGCCTTTGATAAGATAATTTCATTGCAATGTGTTTGTGTATCTTATTATATACTATACCATATTAAAAAATATTATTAAATTTATTTATGTAATTATGAACACTTTAAACCATGCTTAATATTACTCGGATCTAAAATAGACAACTATACTCTGCACTTTAATCTTTTTTCGCTAGAACCATAACCTTTATAATTAAGTAAGCGAAATAAACAGAGCATATACTGGCCGAATTCGTTTCCGGGCCTTATAGGGGTGCTTGGGACTATTCGCTCCAGCTCCGTGTTGCCAAACACCCCGGCTCAAGAACTCCGCTCGAGAAAAAGGTGGAGCTAGAGGCTAACTCCGCGTTTTTTTACGTGAGTATACGTCAAGAAAGTACTCCAGTTATTGGAGCTTTGTACTCTCACATGAAGTTATAGGATAATTACCCACCTTGCCACTTTCGTTAATCACCGATTAGTTTCCCTACCCTGATTCGTCCCCCTACCCATACGGCGTGAAGGCCGCGAGCCACGACTCTTCCGTGAATCGCAAATAGGAGGCTCTTTGCTCCCGTTTTCATCCATGTATTTCATCCACGTACAAAAGCGATTGGTACTTGGAAACCGATCAAAAAAGTCATAAAAAATAAAAATATAAGGAAAAATATTAATAATCCTTGGAAAAAGTAATAATCATTCATAAATCAACAAGCGAATCCCCAGAACCTTTAAACTTTAAAAATTAATTAAACTATTGTAAGACCATTTAAAAGTTAAAAACGAAACTATTAAGTGCAATTTCAATCGAGGGCATAATGGGCCATTTGCATGCAAATAACCAATTTAAGGAGTTAGAGCTAGGGCATGTACCACACTCCCACAAACTCTATGTTTGAGTTGCTCCATGATGGAGTAGCCGAAATGGGACTACCGATCGGCCGTGGAAGGCCGACGGCGCACCGGTTTCTGACGACGGTACACCGCCCAACACCGGGCGGTGTACACCGGAAAAATGCGGTGTCCGCTCGGTGTCTCTGACGAGAGAGAGGATAAGGCGGCGGCACAGTCTGTGCTTGAAGTCTTTGCTTTCGGACGAGTGCCTTCTGCGGCACGAGGGCAAGCGGCTGCTTTCGAGATAAACACGCTTTCGGTGCTGGGCACTGAAGCTGGTAGCCTTCTTCTTCCCCCCATCGATCAAGCCCATCTTTGCCGCGAGCAGAAAAGACCGATGCCACAGCGAGCGCTGAAAAACCACGGAGAAGGGCGACCTGGCGGCGCCATGGAAGCTCCTCTCCGGCAAAAAGTCCGTGTACAAGAAGTCGAAGCCTCCACGATCACGCGGCTCCATGTCCTCGACCGGGCGCACCCCGTGGCGCTCTCCTCCATGGCGCCCGAAGAGCTGCGCCCTAAACACCTTGGACATGCCTTGGCGAGCACGTTGCTGTACGAAAGAACCGGTCACCGATCTTTGATCGTCCGTCGGCGGCCTCGACATCGCGCGAAGTCCGGTGCGGTCCGATGGTGGAGCGCGCTGCCACGGTCATTGCGTCTTCGTGTGATGCTTCGACGGTGGTGATTTGCGCGGTTAATGAAGCCGTGTGGCAGCTCTTTTAGCTTGGATTTCTCGATGAAATTACGCTTTGCCCTGTTGTTATGGTGCTCTGTGTCCGTGTCATAGGTTCTTGTGTCCGTGAAAGGCGGTTCTTGCGATTAACCTTTGCTTGTTTATTTCCTTGTCCTGCTGATCATTTCTTCTTCTTCTTCTTCTTCTTTTCCCTTTCTTCCCGACAGCGGGCGCTTATTTGTCTTTATCGACCCGTGGGCTTATCTTGAACTTAACCCTCACACTGTTGGTCCGTCAAGAAGACTCAAGCGCCTGTCGTATAAGCGGCGGCTTCGTTGTCCTTTGGACAACCGTCATTATGAGGGAAAAACTTGATGCTCCATCCGTAGCCGCCCGACGAAGAAGGTGCCCGGTGGCGTAGTCGCCCGGCATCCATGTCATCGAGCAGTCGGTCACCACGAAGTTGTGCGTCCCGTGATAGCTGCGTCCGGCATGTCGACCACGTTTTCGGTAACACACGGTGGTTGTCAACGATGTCGAATTACTTGGCCTATAATTAGCCATGGCGCATACGATTTTTTTTTTTTATTTAAACCTTCAACACACCGCCGTTCATGGTGGTGGTGGTCGATGTCCTCTTATATACGCAAATTAAAAAAATACTATTCTACGAACTAGGACTCGAGACCAAGCTGGAATCGAGGTAAAAAGAATCGAGTCGTTACAGGACATGCATTTTAAAGTGATGACCAACGAAAATATGGAGAATTGTAACAGGACATGTTAATTTTGGGTTACGATGATGATAATCGTCCATGGTGGAACATACCTTTGCCGTCTTTGGAATTACCAAGCGATAATGCTTGGCCGCAGGCGTCCGCCCCATCCAGACGCCGTGCACCTCGGTCCGCCTCATTTGCTTTCTCCCACGGGCCTAAGGCGGGACACTCCGATGCACAAACCTTACCGATTACCAAAACCAAAAATTTAAAATTACAGCAAGCGCTTGCTTGGCGAGATATTACATCAACTAGATATATATGCATGCGTTGCACGGGATCACATTTTTGTTTGGATTGAACCTCGATGTCGGACACGGATCGTGAGTTCTAAGAACTTCGTGTCGGAGCGTGGACACGTTGATCCGATCTTACGTAGTAGAACCGGGTAGGGCAGCGAACATCACGAGCTTCGAGTGCAGGTTGATTCATATTGGATGCGGGCGTAAGCAGGACTCAAAACTTGGTATGACCGGGGTATATCTGATGGCGTTACAGTATGCTTAGGTGTAGGGATTCATTGAACTTTTATTAAGTTGGTATATTTTAAATCTCTTAGTTTTAAATGGCGAGATCAGAAAATCTAATCGTCTCTTCGAGGTGCTCAAAAGGGTAGAACATGTGTGCGTGTGTTACGGTAGAGATGGGTGTCTGGGACATATACGAGCATCTTGATCGATCATTTTTTTGACAAGCGATTCGTTATTTCATCGTTACGCGGTTGTATGAGCAACACAATATGGCAGAGTTTATTTGCATGGAATATAAAATACAATAAAAATAGAAGATTTTACTTGCATGGAATATAAAATACAGCTAAAATTGTACACAAAGTAACAAAGATATAGGCCTTGAGCTGGCTATCCTACTCACGTGCACCATCGAAGTTCAAGGGCTCAGATTTCCTGTATTTTTATTGTATCTCTGATTTTATTTTTGAAGGGAAAATGTGGTATATGACGTAAGCATGATGCCATGCTGTCGTCATGCTGTAGAGCAGAGCACGGCATTCGGCGCGGCACAGCTGCGCGCACGCACGCACGCACGCGCGGAGGCTGCCTCTAAACGGCCGATGGGTAGCTGTCGGCTTCTGAGTAGCCGATAGGGATATTCGGCCCGTAGAAGGCCGACAGGGTACAGGGGCGAGCGGCCTGGCGCCGTGCTTAGCTGTGTTTTAGTAGCCTCAGAAGCTGCAAGGCAGGGTTTCTTTTTTTTTGTATGGCTCTATACCTTCTTGTTTGCTGGTATCCCCAGCCTCGTTGTGTGCCTTTTACATTGCTTTATAAAAGCAGTGTTTTTCTCCGTAAAAAAAATGTACAAATACTAATACTACTATTTTCTATAGACATAATCAAATTTAGAATTGTCAGACTAAATGAGGAGCTTGATTTATATTTCTTTTGGGCGGCAGGAGCGTCATTTGACTAGATTCCTAGAGAAGCTAGCTTGTCCAAAATCTCCAATAGAACCAAAGGGCAGCTCTCGACGAGATGACAGAACCCACTGGTCTGCACGACAGCACCAAGCATGCCCCGCGAAGCTATGAATCCAAGACAAGCATTCTTGAGCTGCATGCAGCGGTGCTGCTCGGCTAAAGCCAGAGTAGTCGCCACCGTGTCCGCGTCGATGCTACGGCACATCCCCACCTCGCACATGAGCCTCAGCCTGTCCAGCCCATACCGATCCGCGGCCACCAGCAGGTGCTACATCGGCACATTCCTGTCCTTGTTGTCATCCGTGGCAACGCCACCGTCACCGTCCGGCAGAGTGTCCGTGTACACGAAGCAAAGCTGCGCCTCGAAGATGGAAGGCTCCATGTTGTCGACCTTGACGCGTGTTGCAGCCTTCTCCTTCATGGGGCCGAAGAGCTCCGCCCTGAACACCGCGGACCTCGCGGCGAGCACGCACCGGTGTGCCGGGAACGACCGCCCGCCTACGACGAACGTCACGTCCGCGTCGTCCCCGTCCCTGAGCATGCTCGCCAGGTCCTGCAGCACGCTGGGCTCCGAGATGATGATGGCGCATCCCATCGCCACGCACTCAGATTCACAAGCAAGCTTGGACGCTCTCAGATTCACAAGCAAGCTTGGATGCTCTGCAGGTCTGCGACCACGCCAGCCTCCAATCTGCAGGTAGTACCTAAGTGCTGCTTCATCTCCCCCATTCTATTCCGCATTATCGACTTGCGGTTTATCACCTGTAAAAGTAAAAGTAAAACCAGTGTATGCATGTTGTAATGTTGTACGAGTAACAAGCACAACTTTGTTTTTATTATTAATTTATTATTACTAATTTACTATGCCCAAAGTACTTTGTCTATGAAGTATTTTTTAGCAGAATTTGTCTATGTAGTATATATACAAGATTGTTAAATAGCTGCCTATGCACACACTATGGCTGCCACTTGTTGGCCCACACAGGATCACCGGCTCAGGTGAGTCAACCACTCACCAGTCTTGCTGACCACGACAGACGTTGTCCGACCACACACTATGGATAGAGGTAGAAGAAGGGAAGGAGAACAGAGCATACACACACAGCAGAGATGCCAGCGTTGGCCGGAGCTCTTCGGAGGAGATGGCAAAACTGAACTCTCTCTTTACTGAGTTGCAGTGGCAAACTATATATATACAACTCTACCATGCTGCTACAATGACTAGATAACATAGCAGAGCTGACTTCCGTGCTTGCTCCTGCTGTGGCTATAGTGCGGTAGGTGAGCCGTTCGACGTCTGCCCCTGCAGCGGCTACAGTACCACAGCAGGGTACCTTTTCGGCGCCACCTTCCCCTGCCGTGTGTTCACATAAGGTAGCAGTAGATTATCTAACGGTTCTTCCCCTAATCCTACTGCTAACCCTTGAACCCCCTCCATGCTGATTATCTCCTTCAGCTCCGTGAACCGAAGACGTCCGAGCAGCTTGGTGAGGACGTCCGTGAGTCTTGACGATTTGACGAACTTCGGCGACGATCATCCTCCATCGACCACGATCCATGAGGAAGTAGAACTTCACGTCGATGTGCTTGCTCCGGTCATGGAGAACCGGATTCTTTGCGAGGGCGATGGCGGGCTGGTTGTCCACCATCGGTCTTTGGTGGGTGAGCTTCCACACCGTTAGCTTCGCCCGGCGGCGAGCAGCTCCCACCACACTTGGCACGCCGTTGTGGCCTCTGCTCGTTTCTGCCTCGCACATAGATAGCACCACCATCTTCTGTTTTAGCGACAGCCATAAAATTAGAGCTGACCCAAGGATGACGAGCATGCCAGAGGTGCTCCACCGTCCGTCGATGTCCCCCGCCATGTTTGCATCGCTGAAGACAGTGAGCTGTAGCCTACTTCCGCCGGTCTTGGGGAAGACAATTTCCTGATCCACCATTTCCTTAACGTAGCGCAGTAGCCGCTTCACTGCAGCCTAGTGATCCTCTAGAGGATCCTCCATAAAGCGGCAGCGTAGCCCACGGGAAACGCAATGTCCGACCTCGTGTGGACTAGGTAGCATAGACCGTCGATGATACTTCGATAGAGTGTTGCATCTACCTTCGCCGCGGTACTGGCCTTCGTCAGCTTTAGCCGCTCCTCCATCAGAGTCCCACGTGGCTTGCACTCAGCCATGCCGCTCTGCTCCAACAACTTGAGGCATCTGCGCTCTTACCGGCGTGAGCCTCCTTCCCTGTCTCACCTCGATGCGAGGTAGTAGGAGAGTGCATCGAGATCGCGCTTGAAGCTATCGATGTCCTCCACATGCGGCCAGCGGTGATGATCAAGTCGTCCACGTACCGCGCCGACAACGAGCTCCTCCTTCTCCCGTCACCACGTGCTCGATTCGCGCATCTTGTGAACCCAAACTTCGCCTAAGCGTGGCGTCGTGCTTGGCGTTCCATGCTCGTGGGGCCTGCCGCCAGCACAGTGGCGCCTTGCGCGATCGAGCACCACATGCTCCGCTCCCTTGACGGCGAAACCCGTAGGTTGTTTGACGAAGACCATCTCCGCTAGCTCGCCATTGATGAAGGCCAATTTAACATCCAGGTGATGGATGCATCAGTCCTTTGCTGCTGCCAAAGCTAGTAGCAAATGGGCCGCAGACTCCATCTTGGCGCTACCGGCGCAAAAACTCCTCGAAATCGATGCCCTCACGGCCGGACAAAGACTCGGGCGGCGAATGCGCGCCTTATCTTCCGGACAATGGCGCCGTGCTGCTCGTCCCGCTTGACTTTTGTACACCCCACTTTAAACTAATCGGACGGCATCCTAGAGGTGGATCGACGAGCTCTCAAGTCTTGTTTTCCTCGATTGCCTTCATCTCCTCGGCGCCGCCCATCGCCCGGTGTCCATCAGCTCGGCCGGTAGCGAACGTGGGTAGTTCCTCTCGGCACTAACGAAAGCGGCTCTGCAGGTCAGCGGCGGCCTACACCGCTGAGGCCTAAGGGCCCTGTGCAACCTACGATGTCGTCCAGCCTACGGAACCACACCTCCTCACCTTCATGGAAGGCATCCACGAACTTAGTGATGTCACTTGAAGGTGAGGCGAACTCGATCGGCATCGATGGAGTTCCCTATTCTGCCAGAGTGCTCGGCACCCTAGATGCAGTGCTCGGCCCTACTCCTGAACAGCTCGTCACAACTCCTGTAGTGCTCGGCACCACTATAGGAGTGCACAGCCTCAGTCTTCAAGTGGTTGGCACCACTACAAGACCTCTTGGCTCCGCTATGGGAGTGCTCGGCACCCGTCCTGGAGTGCTCACCACCACTGCAGGACCTCCTGGCACCACTCCTGGAGTGCTCGGCACCCCTCCTAGAGTGCTCGGCTCTGTTGCTGGAGTGCTCGGCACCCCTCCTGGAGTGCTCGGCACCTCTTCCCCAGCGTCTCCACCACCATGGATGACCAAGTGCTCGACGACGAAGGTGCTGGTGAAGCCGCCAGCTTCCCCCGTGCTCGGACTGTTCCAGCCCCAAGCCTCCTTCTCGTCGAACACGACGTCATGCGAGACAAGCACCTTGTCTCCGTGTGGGTCGTAGAGCCAATACGCCTTAGTACCCTTCGTGTAGCCTAGGAACACCATCGGTGTGCTCCTATCCTCTAGCTTGGTGAGGACTGGCTTTGTCTTCCTGACATGGCCGATGTTGCCGAATGTCTAGAGGAAGGACATGCTCGGCTTGCGTCCATGCCAAGCCTTGAACGGCGTCTTGCCCTTTAGGGCCTTGGTGGGCGCGCGGTTGAGGATGAACACCGCCGTGGTCACCGCCTCACCACAGAACCTTGTCGGCATGCCTTTGGCCTTCATCATGGATCGAGCCATGCCGACCACTGTCTGGTTTCGCCGCTCCACCATGCCATTTGTTGTGGTGAGTACGGCGTGGTGTGGCGTCGCACCACACCCTGATCCGCATAGTACGCAGCGAACTCCACCGAAGTGAATTCACCACCGTGATCAGTCCTCAGCACGCGTAGCTTCTTGCCGCTCTCGGCCTCCGCGCGCATCTTGAACTTCTTGATCGCTGCCGCCGCTTTGTCCTTGCTCGTCAGGAGTTGCAGCCACATGTAGCGACTGCAATCATCCATGAGCAGGAGGAAGTACCACCGACCACCATTTGTGGCTAGCGTGATCGGCCCACAGAGATCGCCGTGGATGAGCTCAAGAGCGTCCACCGTGTGATACTTGGCCGTCTTTGGGAACGACAGCCTCCTCTGCTTCTTGGCTAGGTAGCTATCACACAGCTCGCCTCCGTGCTCGATGTGGGTAGCCCTCGGGCCATCTTCTCCAGCCGACCAAGCATGTTGAAGCTGAGATGTTCGAACCGGGCATGCCACAACCACAGCTCCTCGGTGTGCCTTGCCGCCAGGCACACCAGCTGCTCTACCTTCAGGTCGAGCAGGTACAACCAGTTCTGGGACCTCTTTACCTTGGCAAGAAGTCGCTGCTCCCGGTCCCTGATCCTAAGGATACCGTCCTTGATCAGTACCTCGCTCCCATGCTCATCCAGCTGGCCAATGCTGATGATGCTTGAACACAGCTATGGGATGTAATATACATCCGTTAGCGCGTGGTGCTCGCCGTTCTGGCACTTGAAGATGATGGTGCCATGCCCTCGGTTCCCACCCTTGAGCCGTCACCAAACTTCACCGTCTGCGGTAACATCGTCGTCGAGCTTCGGAGAAGGCTGCCTTGGAGCTCATCATGTAGTTCTTGGCACGGAGTTCGAATACCACCGCTGCTCTGGTCATCGCCCACACATTCGAGGTGGACTTGGCGCGTGGTTCGTCGAGGTTGATAGCCTTTAGGACCTTCCAGCCCTTCCACCGCCGTCACCTCGCCTTCTCCTCGGCCTCAATGTCGTGCGATTACATGAGCGTCATCATCGGGATAGTGGTCTCATCCTCATCATCGATTTGCGTTAGATGAGCCTCAACCTTCTTCTCTGCTTGTGATTTGGGCACTTCCGTGCCCAATGGCTACTTCCCACAATGCCGCGGCGTTGGGGTCGACCTGCTTCTTCTTCTCCGAAGAAGTCTTGCCATGGCGCTTGCCACCGCCACCGCGGCTAGAGGAGGCTACCCCAGAGTTCCTCCTAGCAGCCTACTCCTCTGTCGTGACGACTTGCCGCATGTCGCCGTTCTTGTCTCCTGCTCTAGGCGCTCATCCACCGCCCGTAGACGTCCTATCACATCCTCAATGGTGAGGGTGGACAAGTGCAACATCATCTCTATGGAGAGAGCGATCTGGATGTACTTTGCCCGGCGCGGAGTGGAGGTACCAGAGACCGCCTCCTCTTCGTTGATGGTGACGCCGTGGCTCTTGACTTCTTGATGGCGTCATGTAGGTGGAGGAAAAAGTCCTCCATCGATTCACCATGCTTGAACTTGAGGTTGGCGTACTCCTGCTTCAGAAGATGGGCCGTCGCCTTCTTTGCGTGGTTGGAACCGACGCGCATCGCCGTAATGGCCTCCCACGCCTCCTTAGTAGAGCTTTTTGCCCCCAACGGCTCCACAGCCTACTCATTGGTACAGCGAGGATAGCTTCCAACGCTGACAT